TTCGTGGCCACCACTTTTTTTGCTTCCAATTCCAGTAAGTAACTAGTTATTGCAACTTGTGAGCACGCCTAGAACATCTGTTTCTGTTCCGGAAGCCAGGTTTCCCTGGACATAGGGCAAATTCCTTTTCATATTCCTTAAGTCAAATTCCTTCGCTGATTTACTTTCTTAGAATACGTAACTGGACCGGATAGAATATTGCTAGAGGTTTTCGACGGTCAGCGAACCAGAAGTCAGGTTTCAACGACCCGCCCGTGGATGTGTGATATAGTAACCCCCTACGCCCAACACACAATTTGTGTCCCAAAATAGCGTTGTGTAGTGACCTGGAAATTGGCTGCGACGAATCCGACGAATTTTTGCAAAATCTGGAACGACTTCCATCCATGAGGAACGTGAGAATGTTCGAGCAGACGTTCTATTTTCTCATGCAGTCACGTGCTAGTTTCACTTGGGTATGCACTATAAGGCCGGAGCGGGATATGCCCGCTTGGAGCATGTGGAACATTCTTGCAGGGACAATACTTCCTTGAGGAATAGAGCGCTAAAATAGGGGTCGGTGTTTGATTCCTTGTTTTTCTCACTACTGCTACAACTTTCTCCCTTTCGTGCTCCTGCTGGCAGCTTCCTGGCAACTTTCTGCCCCCACTTCACTACGCTTCATGGAATTACAACTAATCAATTTACAAGCAAACAAAATCTTCAGTTTCGTCTTCTTCAGCCCTATACCCTAATTCTGCATCAACAGCTATTTGTTCACTTATTTATTACATGCACAAAGCGTATATGAAAATTTGGGCAAAAGTCTCTTTGGCAATCGAATAAACAAACAAACAAACAAAGCAAGTTCAACTTCGAAACTTCTTCCAACGTGAATGAAGCCTTCCTTTAACGGCACGTCTTGATAATTGTTATTGATGACTCGGTCCCATAGAGGATTGCTTTAAACTTGACACTTATCACTTGAACAGGTTGTTCTGGCTCACACGATTTTCGTCGATAAGCTGCCTGTACTATGGGTTCCTTGTCATCAGATAATAGTTCGAAAGTCCTTTCGACTTTGAAAGAAAGCTCTTCTGATGCTCATAAGCTGATCGTTATGAGAGTGCCATATATAAAATTTTGCTGAAAGGATTTCTAAGCCCAAGGAGGAGTCCACCTAAAAACGATGGTTTCGGAGCGAATGAGCAAAATTAAATCTCAGGTTTTGGATGAATTGTCCCCCACATATGGAATATTCGGGCTTAGATGGTGGTCCTCATCTTTGGCACAAACTACTTGCGTCACATACTTTTCGATGGGCTTTTGCACTCTCTGAACCGCTAGAAGAACATCAAGTTTCTCTCTTAGGTACTATGCGACCTATCAAGGAGGGTTATAAGACAGCGAGTGTCTCAGCTGTTGCAAAGGGCAGTAATTCCTTTCTAGTCGTGACTAACGATTTTGGGTGTGAGGCAGTGGAACTAAAGAACTTCAATTCAGTAGGTCGACTTTCAGTAGAACTTTCAGACCGGGTAACGGAACCTCTCCCCGATTGCGGCATTCTCCCTTGCAACATGCGGCAAATGGTACTGTAACTACCGTACTCCCCCCCCCCGGGTGCGCTACGTTGCGCGTGTCC